TTGGGGCAGCACTTTGTACTCTATTAATAAATTAAAGATTTTTATAATTATTCATTGTGACCTCATGTCACTGCCAATCTTTCTGTGAGCAGTCTAACCAAAGAGGGACATAGATTTTGACGTTTTGGGACTAAAACGCATCGCAAATTATAAAAATAAACAGCAGAAATAGTTTTCTTACACCTTTAATTGGGGAGTGACCCCTCAGATTCATCTTGGGACCCTTTTATGCCAACCGATCTAAGATGTCTTCATGTGACCGTCCAGAAATAGATTTTTGACTAAACCAAAGGCCGGGTACCAAGTCAAAACGTTTGCATACAGTGTATCACATGTCTTTCATCAATTCAGAGCAAATCCAGCTAATTAGCTAATGTCTCTCCCAGCTGCGACCAACATGGTGCGGTCAACGCCTCATGTGTCACCTCCATTTTGAGTTGCTGACCACGTTAATTAGTTTTAATTATCCTCAACTTAGTTCAAGCAATGCGTCATGACACGTTCACTTTGGTGAATTTACGACATGGCTCATAACCTCAGCCAGATGACCGAACATAATACTTTTTTCATTTAAAGCCAACATAATAAAACTAAAATTAGTTTACTCTCCAGTCTATTTAAAAAGCCTGCCGGGCTCCTGTGAGTATGTGCCCTGAGTTGCTTGACCTACATGCCCACGGATAGAGTAGGACCATAAACACCTGCTATTATTTACAGAATGCTGCAGTCTCTCTGCCAAAACATTTACTGTATTTATTGCTATGTGCCGTGTGCGCGGTGCCAAGTCATGCAGCAAACCTTAACACACCAGATGATTCAGGATCAGTCTGAAGGGTTTATGGTTTTTTTATTTGTGTGTCTAAGCGTCATATGGAAACTTGGCTCTTAAGTTGGATACTAAAAATATATCTAAAAGAAAAATCATCATTGCATTAAAGCACCATGTTCCTCACCTACACATTTACTTTCCTGCCATAAAGTCAAGCGTTAGCTGTTACTTTCATCTAGTGGCAGATGTTTGAATTACAACACTGGGTTAGGAATGGACCACCATTCACCAGCTGCCAGGATGAAACTCACAGAACCTCACTAGTGCCCTTGGTAAACCTGTCTGTTTAGGATGTGCTGTTCTCTTGTCCTGTGTTAATGCTCCAGAACGAATTCAGAGTTATTCCTTGTCATCAGTGAGTCCTCCTCAAACAGTTCTACAATATACTGTCACGTTTTATTGTTTGTGTGCTGAGCTTTTCATAAAAGGTCGATGATGCAGAGTGAAGTTAGACAACTTTGTATCCAAATTCTGTGTTCATCCTACCTGGTTTATCTGCAATAAAGTTTTTACGGTCAATGTTTTTCATAGAATGAAACTGATTTTACTTTTCAAAATAAAAGCTCCGTAATTCCACAGAGCATTACAGTAGTGAAAAGAACATTGTGCTTTTACTTTGAGACAACTTGCTAAAGAGATGACTATTGGAGATCAACACCTGCAACACACCTGTCTCAGTCTGACATGGTAAAATCAATATTATCAAATGATTGATCTGGCGGTGATTATGAAGTTAGCAACCACTGATGTAGTTTATCCCAGAACTAGGAGGGAGACATGTTCAACTCAAGAGTGAAGACACACTGCCCCACCCCCACTGACTGCTACAGAGCGCTGGTCATGTTTATTCAATTTATATTTAACATTAAACAAATTTCTTGTCCAAATCACATCAAACTTCCTCTGGCAATTTACAATCGACATACCAAGTGTGACGTTGATAGAATAAATGGTTCTTGAGATATCTGTTCCACATTCAGACAGTCAGACAGAAGTATATGGAATCAGTAGATTACAACTGATTGCCCTTCTATGTGAAGTGCCTTGAGATAATGTATATTATGATTTGGCACTAT